AAGATTAGCGAAACGTTGGGCCGTAAGTGAAATAACGTCGTTTTATTTACACTAAAAGAACAGATCAGACAAGCCTATCACAAACTAAAAGATTTTCATAAAATTTATTCACCACAAAGTAAAAGCATAGACAGACGGCAGCGTTGATCTGGATCAACTCGCTAACTCGGAATTACCTCGGGAATTAACTGCAGTTGATCCGGATTAAGTCCTAGATTTATTTCCCAAACTGATCTCGGATCAAGGGAATATTCGATGACAACACTGACCGAAACTCAGAGAGCGTAGAATACAGAGAAAGGGCAAAACTAGCATGGACCTTTTCATCGGTAACGCGGTCACCATACTAAGTCAGATAGGAATCCAATTGAAATTGAATAAGAACTTATTTTAATTAATACGGTGACGGCATTACCGACGACAAGGTGGATGCCCATGCTAGTTTTAAATTTTCTTCGTGTTCTACGCTCTCTGAGCAAACAAAGCAGCCAACTACTTTATCCGCGGTAGTAGAGTGGTGAGCAGTGTTGCCATTTTAGCCGTTTTCCGGCTAGATTTAACCGGTTGCCATAGAAAACAGCCGGAGAAAATTCGGTTTAGCCGGCAGCCGATATGTTAGCCGTTTTGCAAAAAAATTAGCCGTTTTTAGCCGATTTTGCTATTCGCTATTCGCCTTATTTTATTAAAATTCAAATATACAAGTTTTTATTTTTACAAATTTAGTGTTTCAAAATCTTTTAGAAATGGCTAGTCTTATCTCTGAAAAAATTTTCATGTCGGACTGTGTTATATAAAATTGAAAAACAATATTTTCCAACCCGATTCAATGCCGATTTCAATGTATTTTGTTTTAAGCGAGTGACCCAAATACAAATAATGTTTTAGCTGATTAAAAAGTTACAAATTATGCTGAAATTTTGCAGAATTTTCATAATTTTTACACAAAGTCTGAAATCTGGATGTAGTATATGATGTAATGAGCTACATATTCATAAAAAATAATAAACATTAAATAAACTAAAGAAAAATAGCAAAACTTGGGAAGACGTAGCGGGAATTATCTTCATAAAATTTTTGTTATGAATGTCTTAAATTTAAGTGTGAAGTATTATTCGCAACACTTAGAAAATAAAAGAGCACGAATTTCGATGTGGAGCAAAACTCTCTGGGAAGACAATACCTGTGAATAATTGCATAATGGTGCAAACATACTTTATTTTTGTTATTATTATTATTTCCGAGTTGTGACCTTCGGCCGCACTAGAAGAAATAACCTCATCAGTCCAACTCCGGTTACGCCATCCACAGTATTTCTGTGCAAAACCCACGTCGTCCAAATTTACAATAAAAGTGCATATTTCAAACAGAAATATTTACTTTAAATTAAAGCTTAATCCCTTTGCGAGACGTATATGTAATTTTTTTTTTTAATTCGGTTCACGTGTTTGGACACGATAACCAAAAATCATTGTACAAATAACCGAACCGTACCCAAACTGTCTTATACATTTTTCTATAAACAAAAATTTTAGAAAATGAAACTGCAGTAGTTTTATTTATGAGGATAATTCTTGCCACAAATACATAGTTTCGTGCTTACATTTATGTATATATTTTTTAGCAGCACCACATCTTTATCAGAAAATTCCGAGAATCCAAAAATTGGTACTGTTACAAGTTGCAGGGCATCATTCAAACCCGACCTCCTTCCTGTTCCACGGATAACGGTACATCTTTTAGAGGTTTAAAAATATTTTGCGTCAGCAGTTTGTCATCAAACTGCATTAGATCGTATTACGTACCCTATCCTCGGAGAAGCAAAAAACTTTATTTTCGAACCATTGCTCAGGTGTACCGAATTCTGGCAGTTTGGAAACGCGCAACACTTTTAATATTTTCATCCAACTTCACTAACTTCAAATTATATTTTATTTACTTGTTTAAGAAACAAAAATTTTTCTGCTAGTGAATCTGGTGGCAGGATTTTAGTTAAATGTCATAAACTTGTTAAAACTGAGGCAACAAGGCAACAACAGCAAATGCCAACAAATTAAACTACCATCTGTATTAGTATCATGGCGTTTTCTTTTAACGAAATAATGTTGCCCTGTTTTCCTCAGCGCTTTCACAGCTTTACGTGTTAATTTCTCAAAATATTGCCCTCCGACTAAGCAAAAGTGCCATACTTTCTGCTGATATAGGCATTTTGCGGGACAAAAAGCAACCTACTGAAAATGTTACAATATTTATAAGACGGCGAAATTGTTTAATAGAAAAGAAAACGCCATAAGTTTGTAATTTATCTCTGTTTTTATATTTAAGTACAGTATATTTTGCTTTGCTGCCTCTATGCTTAAGTGCACATTTAAGATACCTACCCCAAAATGCGCATCAAAAGCATTATTTTTAACATTTATAAGGAAACTGCTCCGATAGATGCATTCAACATACCTGCACATTGGCGATACCTTCCTTAAAAATTGTGCGACTAGTATCAATTATCAAAGAAAGTATTACGTTTACCTGCACTGGCCCTACAATTACCTAATTTTACAACCTTTTATTTATTTTGCTCATCTCGCAGAACAACGAAATTTATGTAGTTATATAGATAATTAGATAACATTCGGTAAAAATTTCGCTTGCAGCAATTTCTAAATGGTAAGTGCTCCGCCAATATTTGGTTTCATAGGGATTCGGATACCTTCCTCATTGAAGTAGTAAAGAAAATTCGCACAAGATTTTCGTGCAAAGAAGGATGTGCAGCTAAGCAAAATATACTGTAATACAAACATGACTTCTGATATAAAGCTTAGCTACGTATAACGACAGTTTCCTTTGTTAAACAAAAATAAAGTGGTGTACAGCTTAGCTACGTATTTTAGCCGTTTTTGTTCAATCTAGCCGGTCGCCCCGAAAAGCTGTGGCAACACTGGTGGTGAGGGCTGCATGTCCAAAGTTTGATCCTCGGTTATAGCGATTACCGAAAAATTTTGTTTTTATTGTTACTTAAATTTTTTTAAATTTTATTTGATTAAAATATTTAATTTTACTTTATTTTATTTCGCATTTTGTATTTTATTATTAGTTAATTTAAATTTTTAGAGTTTAATTTTACTATAAAAAAGTCAAACACTACTAACTAAAAACTTTAAAAAATATAGAATTCATAATTGAATGAATAAAAAAGAAAAATGAATGAAGCCGTGGGATTCGAACCTACGACCTCACGGTTCGTAAATCCGCATTCCTTCCGTCTTTCAAGCTACAATTTTGATCAGATCAATTGCGCCGTTATTCCGGATCAACGTTGCAGTCTGTTTATGCTTTAACATATAATCATACTTATTTTTTTACTTCATATGGACGACCTAATTGTAAAAATTATAATACAGTTTAAAAGCGAACAAAGTGTCAAATCAATCAAAGCGCTACTTGAGAAATTGTGTTGATTTACAACAGAGGACTATTTTTAAATTGCTTACCTGAAAAGCTGTCTTAGATACATATAATCAGGCTGTTCTTCGAATCGCAAACTGCGGCAGTAATTAAGATACATAGAAAACTCTGCGGGAAATCCTTTGCAAAGAGTTTCGATTGGTGTGGACATTTTCTTTTCTGAAATTTTTTCATATTTTTGTTGCTTATTATTTGCTTTCATGCCTTGCCAAGGAAGAACACCGCGATTAAAATACATCATAACATAACCCAGCGATTCCATGTCATCGCGTCTAGACTGCTCTATTCCTAAATGTGCGTTTATTGATGCATAACGTGCTGTTCCCGTTAAGTTTTTGTCTTCACGATAAGTAATGTGAATGCGGGTAACGGGATCGCGATATTTTTTGGCTAAACCGAAATCAATCAAAAATAACTTATTGCAATGACGTCCGATACCCATAAGAAAGTTATCAGGCTTGATATCTCTATGAATAAAGCACTTTAAATGGATATATTCAAGGCGGCCAATCATTTGATCCACTAGCATAAGCACCGTTTTAATGGTAAAATGACGTGTGCAAAAATTGAACAAATCTTCGAGAGATGGTCCGAGAAGATCCATAACTAAAGTATTAAAATTTTTTTCTTTTCCATGATATCGAATTCTGGGAATACCAACTCCGCCAGTAAGAATACGATATAGTTTAGCTTCATATAAAAGTTGTGGATGTCTTGCGTTTGCACTTTCCATTTTTACGGCAACTTCTTCTCCACTTTGTATACTCATTCCCAGATATATGTCTCCAAAGGATCCACTACCTGAAACATTCAAATTGTAAGGAACATTTTTAATGGTTCAATAAAGAAAATATAGAACACAGAGATTTACAGCCCGAATCTGTGCACTTGTGTCAATTTTTTCTACTTATCAAGAATTGGAATTGTAGTACAGAAGAAAGAATTTCATACTCGTGCCTATGGCTTTACAAAACAGTTGTGTTAAGTGCAATTACCAAAGCTCTCATGGATTCATTTCAGGAAAGTACGCACTTTATTTAATACTTGTTATCAAACAAAATTTTTGAATCGTTTAACCTTGACTAGCATTCAAAAGTACTTTTTCTGGCGAATTTGTATTGAAATTTTATTTTTCATGGTAATTTAAATGTGAGTTAAGTCGAGTTAAGCTAAGTTTTTTACAACGGCATATTTTACAAACCTTTGGCTTAATATATCTGTAAAAAACTAAAGTCGACCGCCTCTTTCCGCCCTCTTTTAAATCGTTATTTGAAAAATAAGCAATAAGAAAAAAACTAATATTTGTTTTTGAAACTTTCGAAACTAACACAAGCAAGTATTTTTTTTGTTCTTAGGATATAATATGCGGTCATCAATAAGGATGACAAGAGACGCGTTATTCAATATTCTTCAATAAGGCGAATATAAAAAATGGAAGAGAAAATCGAGTTTCTTGAAGAAAAATTAGTGGAAATTACAAAGTGTCCCAAAGAGCGAATTTTCTTACTTCGTGATAGTTTAAACTGTTTAAACATTAGCACCAAATGAAGTGGGTATCGGCAAGTTAGAAAAAGGAAGGTTTTTGGAGGAAAAAATGTAATGCATGACGCTTTAGTTGTAGATAATGCACTTCTCCCCATCGAGCGGCTATCAGAGGAAGCACGAAACAAGCACTTCCGGGGAAATACGTCAAAGGTCAAAGTCAAAGTGTAAAAAAATCACGTTTTTTTTTAATATTCCGCGAAACTCTAGCAAAGAAAGGAAAGGTGATAGAAACTTTTGATGATCACTTCTAGACATTTATTCAACAGCAAAAACTGATTTTTCTGAAGTTTGAGTACCTACCACAATTAAGTTAAAGGTGATAGAACCTTCCAGTTAGGCTTAAATTAAGGCTTGAACTATCAACTGCAATCCCTAAAAATACCATCCCTGCACCTTGCCCTGATGGTCACTTATAGTCATTTATTGAACACTAAAAAAATACTGGAAAATTATGCTAATGGAAAAAAGAAATGTTTCCAAAATAAGTTTTTGCTGTTCAGTAAATGACTATAAGGCACCTTAGGGTCAAGATCCAGGGATGACATTTTTAGCGATTGCAGTCCAAAGTTCAAGCCTTAATTTAACCCTAATTGGAAGGTTCTATCACCTTTTACTTAGTTGCGGTAGGTACTCAAACTTCACGAAAATCAGTTTTTGCTGTTCAATAAATGTCTAGAAGTTTCATCAAGTAAAGATGCAAAATGGTATTTTCAGGGACAGTAGTCGAGAGTACTAGCTTTAATTTAAGCCTATGTGGAAGTAAAATATTGCAAAAAACGCGATTTTTGGACACTTTCACCTCGTTTTTCTCTAAATCTGGAGCTGACGGAAACCTTACACTTATGAATTCGTAATAAGCACAAAAAAGTCTATCAAAAACAGCTTTAACATTTGCTGCAGCAACATTTTTTCCCATTTTTGTTGGCCTGTATTATTTTTAATTTAGTTGGCTAGTCATAATTTTTTATACCAAACGCTTACAAATCATGCCAGTTACCATTTTATTACTCAAATATATACTTATATATTTATTCATTTATAAAAGGCACTAGGCCGCAGTGCTGCCACTATTGATCTTTTCCGACCAAATTTGGTAGCTTCTTTTTCATTTGGTAGGTTGGTAGGCAAAGTAAGATTTTGTTCGGGTAGTTGAATTAAGTTTTTAAATTAGTAATTATTAAACTATATATTTCAAACATCATTTTGCATATAAATGTTTGCCAATTGTACCTTTTAAACATTTGCCAATCCTGCCTATAAAAATAAGAAGCCTAATTGGTTTGGCCACTGATGAAGCCAATGTTATGGCTGGAGAAAACAATGGCGGGCCGAAAACATTATTGAATGAAGAACTCGATTTATTTTATACTAGTGTTCGCCCAGCGGTAGAAATTCAACCACTAAAATTAAGGAGAGTTTATGTGAGTTGAGTTGATGTGAAATAACATTAGTTGGAATGGGTAAAGTTAAATAACATAACATAAGTAGCATAAGATCCATAACATAACACCGCACATTCTGCATTTCTATCTCCTTTTTTATCCCTATTACTTTCTTAATCTCTATATTTGTCTCTATCGTTTTTTTATGTTTATGTTTATCTTCATCAGCATCTGTATCTTCATCATCTTCATCTTCATCTTCATTTTCATCTTCATCTTCATCTTCATTTTCATCTTCATCTTCATCTTCATCTTCATCTTCAT